CAAGTTGAGGAGGCCAATGCGGTCCGGTGATGCATTCAATCATTGTATCATTCTGATCGGTAACGGTACATTTCTGAAATCCCAAGGTCACAACACTGAATGTCTCCGACCTGAAATGGACAGGGGGAAATAATATCAATGCCAGGGTTACATGTGGGTAAAATCGGATTTTAGAGAGAATTGAAGAAACAAACGGTATCATAACACGGCTTGATGAAAACCAGTGCTGAAGTAATTGAATGTCAGGGACTATCGTCAGAAAGTGATTAATGCTGATTGCAACTAGGTTTGAATGAATACAATATTATTGACTCAACCAACAAATCGTTCTGAAACAAAAGTAATGCAATATGATCAGGCTTTGGGGATAGCGGATAGTGAACTCGCGTCAAAGTGCCTTCATTTCATTGCCTCCAACAACAACTGTTCAGCATTTGGGCGATGACGACTCCATTGCTTATAACAATTGGAACAATATACCGTATGTGAAAGAGGCAACAGTTTGGTAGTAATCGAGACACTATATTGAAATCTGAACACAGCATTTTACCATCTGATATGTCGTGTTGACATCCCGAACATGCAGTCATTTTTTCTTGTTTGCAAATAGAGATTTTCATCTCATGTACAACTCAGAAAAAACAAAACACATGTGACGAACACTCAGGCGTGTATTTATCTTAATTACGACGAACTTAAAGGTTAACAAAACAGGACCGGTTAGCTTGTGGACAGAAACATTCGGTCGATCAACAGAGGGGAGTAGCATGATCAAACAAGACCAATAATAGCATGGATTCATGGAAACTTGAACGTTATGCAGAGAAAGTGGTTCTTATTCAGATATGTATTTCACGTTAAAATTACTCTTTTCGTCACATCTCGTCAGTATAACATTTATACAATTTTGGAGATGCCCCGATAAACAAACTCATGACGAATGTGAATGGTCGAGTATATGCTGCAGTAGTTCGGCCGACTCTACTTTACGGTGCAGAGACTCGGCCATAACGAGAACAGGATAAAAATAAATAATAGGTGTTCGAACACTGCTGTCTACGTAGCATTGCACAAGTCTGGTGGGGAAACCGGATGATCAATGCTGAGGTTAGGCGTAGAGTTTTAGGTAATCGCGGTAGTACACTGGAGCAAATGGTCAACCTTCATAAATTACACTGGTTCGTACATGTGTTACGCATGTCACCAGGTAGGCTACCACGGCGAACGATGTTTGCCAAGGCAGGTAGCGGTTGGAACAAAATCAAGGTCGGTCAAACAAAGACCTGGCGTGAGAGTATGAAAACAGTTACCAGGAGATTGGGTCGCATAGGTGCCTTTAGGCTCTCTGGCTGGGGACCCCGAGATGCTGGTCGCCGATGGTTAAAGACTCTGAGCATTATGGCTAAGTGTCGCAAACAGTTGCGCTCATGCATTCACTCATTATTCTTGTAACGTCCGTCTATGCAAAGACGCTATCTTTTGCTTGAATCTGCTGTCAACATTATAATCTTCATTCTGCTTTTTTATCCAAACGAGAAGCGAAAAGACAGCAACCAAAACCGGCGCACGAAAATGCATGGTTAGTGGTTGTCAGAACTGAAATGAACTGAAGTGGAAGTGATGTTAGCAATTTCTGTTCGGATTGTGTGTCAGATATTTAGAAAATCTTCGGTCTGATGCAAAAGAGAGATACGAGTTATGTGCTTCCTCTGAGCCATCTTGAAAGTCAACACCGATAACACTGGACTGCTTGCCAGGTTTTGTGTGGGATGCTTCAAGGTAGGAGAAATGAAGTGACACTTAGTAACCATTGATCGGTCGTGTTTCCTTAGTTCGATCAACACCCCAAAAGCCCCTCTACCCAGATGGATTGGATGGTTCACTTTGCTGTTGGCATGAGATCTGGAAGAGAGAAAACCTATTAAACAGCTACCCTGAAGAAACACGATCAGTTACGGTTCATAGAGTGCGTTCTCGTTTTTGTTTTGCTTTTCATCAGTTGAAGGAATGGTCCGTAAACAAAATGTGCAATAGTCTACGTTTATTTTTGGAGTTTATTAAAACTAAGATCAGTATATTGTTCAAAACGAACAGACCACATAGCACAGATCACTTAAAACGCACTTTTTTCTTGAAACCCGGTTGAGAAACACTGAGGATAGTTGGCCAAGAAACTAAGACGAAGTACCAACACCTGCAGTTCTCTTATTGATATAAAGCTCATTTATAACGCAGCGATGGATAATACCGGCTCCGTAGAAGGTGGTGATGCGCATAAAATGTGCTTCTGTTAAAAGGGTGAGACCAAAGGACGAACCAGACGCTATTTTTACATACCGGTGTATGATGGACAGCAGACGCGGTAGGACCCCCGTCGTCACGAAGACCTGCTGTTCTGTGATGATACCTTGTGCCCCAAGACCCGGGACTTGGAGTGGCGAACCACATAAGGCCCCGGTAGCTAAGAGAACTGTTTTCCCAGTGCACAGCCCTCGCATTCAGTCTTATATTACTTATTTAGACAGGTCTGTTCACTATAGTTTTACTCTTGTCCGGTTAATCGTTCTTGTTATCCAGGAATGTCCGTATCCTCATTGCCTTTGGTGCATCCGTCCTTATATATGAGCAACTGAAATTCGATAAAGAATAGACTGAAATCTCCTCTATGAGGTAAACGATCATGGGAGAGATGATCAGTAGTACACAAAAGCGCACAAAAGCGTTAGGATTAAGCAATAATTCAACACCTGTGTTAACTGATGACTATCGTCGTTGGTCAATTAGGGGATTCGTTCAATCGTCCCCCTTAATTATAATTGAATTGTGTTCAAATAGAACTATGTATTCAGTGATTTAAGAAAATCAATAAAAAGAACAGGAAGGATAAGTGATTCCTTCAGTGGAACACAGAAAAAATGCAATCGTTCTCAAAAGGAATGGCAAGCTGCAAGTCAGGTTCAACATTTTACTATCTGTTTCAATTGAAAGTTATTATTAAATTACAAATAAACGTACCACAGCCTCTCCCCGACCAGTCGGATTTGAGTACCTCCGACGGTGCCACCAAATTTCGGTGTTACTCCCGTGATCACCGGCGTCATGTTAAGCATGTACCCGTAGGCTCGGATTTTGAGAAATTGATGTTCTTTCCCAACAAGTCTGACGTCACAGTGCACATCAGTCTGTTCATCTGTCACACACAGATTGGCAAATAGTGATTTGAACCGAAGGAGAAAGTTCAATATAAAACAAGGAATTCAAATGGTGGGGAAACTCAGATTGATTTATTCTTTATTACCTCAAATCAGTTATTGATTCGCGAGCAGATAAACGGTTCTGAGTAGACCCTCTGTTCTTATTCACATCACATGTTTATCCTATTCACTTTCAACAACATTGTGCTCATTTGAGTTGTTACACCGTTAAATGCAACTAGTGTACAACAAGGAAGCAAAATAGCAATGAATCAAGAATTTATCTAGTTAGCGGAATATCGTTGTGAAGCCTGTAGCGCGAAGAATTTCTCGAACTAATGAATGTCCAATATGGCAGTAAGCATCTGTATTTGTCATGCATAGTCGGCTTGATGCTTTCCGGGGAAAAGCTCCCGGGAACATGGGAAAGCTGTCTTGGTCAGCTTATCAGGATGAACCAGCAATACATATCCGCGGAATTCCCTGGAACTCTAATCTGGGACCGAGGGGTTCTCAATCCGCTGTGCTAACCACTTGAGGCAGATAGACCAGCGTTAGACACCTTCGAACATCTCAATACTGAGTGACAGCTTTTGTATAGCCTTCAAATATTTTACCCTGTTTCACTCTGTGGATGGATCAGTGGTAATAGACCATCGAAAGACAGTCCAAAAGATTATAACACTGGTTGTGTAAGCATAGGTGTTGCAAGATAACCGTGTTACTTAATCTAGATTGTATTCCCGTGCATCAAAAACTAGATTACTGTCTACTGAAGTCCGATGAACCAACAGCTGACGGCTCAGCTCTGTATCAACTAGTGTTGAAGTTTAGTAAAAATCTAACAGCCAGTACGAATAGCGAAGTGGCTGGCATGTTCCCTAAACAACTCCAGGTGCCCTTATCCATTCATAGTGTGCTCAGTGGGCAGATCCTTCTAATACCGTTTCTTAACCATATTATTTATGTACATTTTCGCTGTCTATGCCAAAAAATTAATGCATACTGAATAGATTAATTTGTTTTGTGAATGTTCAGTTATACATTTTCAGCTTTATTTAGGGAGAGAAGAAAAGTAGGAAACGAGATTGAAGTTCACCGTAGATGAAAGAACTCACCTCGTGCCGGTGTTAGACAGAACATGAACTGATTTGTACCGCGCAGATTGAGACATTCTCTTTCACAAATGTATATCTGAGTCTCATGTACTTCAAACCCATTCCCGCTCAGTTCAAATATCTGACCGCCTTGTAGGCTTCCTGTGATTCAAAAATGTAAGAGCAAAAGAACATACAACTCAGATTTGTAATTCAGTTCAAACAGCGGGGCTAAAGTCACGAAATTACCAAAGACAGTCCGTTAGAAGAAACATGTCATAAAACCCCCAAAGCATTGTTTAAACCATCTAAAGATCGTAATGTAAATGCACGGGTAAACATTGAACTAATAACTGTCTCTCCTTGGAATTACGTGTTATACTAACTCAATTCTATCCGAAAACTGGGCTGATGCGAGTGTTGAATCTGTTTGCTACCCTCCACACGTTTTCACCCACAAATCTGTCTGCTGTTCTGTCCCTCAAGTGTTATTGTCTTGGCCCGAGCTTATTATCGATCATCAGACATGCACTTCGTTCCATTTCGTNCCCTGCCGTATCGTATGGAGTTGCTTAACCATATTCGCATTGGTCCTCTATCTCACCTATGCGTCGCTCTTTCCCATGTGCACATGCACGCCCTAACGTTATTCACTCATCACTTGTTCGTTTAACGGAGTTTGCACCTTGATTCTCGATTGGCGGTGTTCAGTTCGCCGGTTCAGGCATGCACCACGATTTGAGATGCGCTATTTACATAATTGTAACACTTAATATTTACAGTACCGCATACTTATTGGCTACTGTTGGAGACGCATAAACTTCTAGAACAATTGGACTCGGCTTATGAGGTTGTGCGTCCCTCAACGTTAGCCTGGATAGTCATTTGCATTTAACAGCTAGTGTAAGTGAAAAGTGAAACTTTAACAACAGAAATCTGTCTGAGATGATCGACTGAGAGCACAGCGGGACAGCTGGCTTTCTCGTCCCATTTGAACCCCGTGAATAGTGCCTATCATATTTGTAGCTTTGCTGGGACTCGAACATCGAATGACCGGGATTGAGAGTCAAAACCGTTCACCATGCCGTGCACACGGTCACCGAGTAAAATCTTGAACGGGTGGCTCAATCATCTTCTCAGGAAATATCGTGTTTGGCTTGGCCCATTCGACTGTTCCCGGGAGCATAAAAAGATGCATTTCGCTGATGGAGAATTAACGAGCTCCTGAGGAGTGGAACCCACACCAAACATCCCCAGCATTGCTTGGTGCTTGGATGAACTGATCCAAGTACTATTTAAATCTACCAGGAAATGTGCGGAAATGATGAGCATAACAAAAACGCGCATGTTGTGTGAATACCTGAAATCGTCCCTTGCTATTGCTTCGACAATTCCTCATGCCAACCATCCCGTTTTCAATTAAAGGTGCCCCAGTATCAATTTGAAATATCATGTCGCTATGTGGATGGTACCTTGCAGAGCACAGGTTGGAAATGTTCGATGGGACCCCTGTTTACCCAGATCCATGTGCGTCCCACATGTATACTGATCTATGCGCCCCGAAAATATCGTCCCATTCTCAACAGAAATATGCAACGACAGCAATTCTCTTTGATTTTTTGCACGCGCACAGACTGGGCAATGCAACCCACTGTCTAGTCAGAGCTAAGTTACCATGTGCTGACCGACGGCAGCCTGGTTTGATATAAAACAAACGAATTAGTTTAAGTTTCGGTGAGATCTCTCACCCAATGACCTTGTTTTCACTTGGCCAGGAAACCGAGCTACACTAAACAGTACTCACCACCACAACAATAATGGAACGGTGAACTCCCTTGGCTTTCAAACGGTTCTTTCACTTCATTAGTAAAGTAGCCCCATTTGTTTTTGGCTATCGTCATACATTCGGGATATACCGATGCGATTGACATACACAGTATTTCAACGGCAGATCAAAATCCCTGTGTGAAACAAGTAGTTGGTGACTCTTTTTCAGGTCATTCCTATTGGGCCAGATCGGTACGGCCTCAGGTTCCCGGTTCATTCATTCCAAGTCAGTTTGGTATGCTCACAGAAACATTCATCCATACGCGCACGCAATTAATTCACTCAAAACACTGGTACATCGCACTTGCATTCGTCTTCACCTGAGCCCAATCATATACTTTTATGTGACGTGGTGGATCTTCTCTCTTTGTCTCTGTTCATTTTCAATTGGAACATTAAAACCAGTTCGCCATCTAAACCCCTCAGGTGTCTGACAGCTCAAATGAGTCCAAGTATATAATTACTTTGTATGTTGGATTCCCACCTCTCTAACCGGATGCTATAACCGTTTCTATTTACATTTTAAGAACCGGTATAACTAACTTTTCGGTTCCCTCAAATTCCCTTCATTCGGTTTGAACGTTCCTCTTGGAATCAACGATGACAGTCAGATGTAAATTATATTCCGGGTAATCTGTGCTACTTGACGCTTAAGGGCAAATTGATAAATCATGATGGTCTTGAGTGAATATCACTCACCAAAACGAGGATGAATATTGTTTACAGCGAACGCGTCATTGTTCTCAAGGGTGGTTGCTGCCATTTCTGTACTACTAATATTACTGGTAGTAGTAGTTGCTGCTTCTGTATTCACTGTTCTTGCCGATGTCGTGATGGCCTTTTTTGGTGTTTTGATTGTATTCAATCCATCTGTTACGGATTCCGGTACCTCTTCAACAACCGTTATCGTTGATCCTATTGTCGTGGTCGTTTCTGGTGTGGTTGTTGTTGCTGTCATGGTTGTTTCTGGTGTTGTTGTTGTTGCTGATGTTGATGTGGTCAGATCATCTGTCGTGGATTCCGGTAGCTCCTCATCAACCGTTGTCTCAGAGTGCTCCGTGATCCTTGTGTGTGAACACTCATCGCACCCCGTCGTTTCTGTGTTCACGGTCGCTTCTGTTGTTGTTGTCGTCGTTGAGGTCAAACTATCTGTTGTGCATTCTGGTAGCTCTTCAGGAACTCTTGTCTCATTGTGTTCCAAATTTTCTGCCTCCGGACACAATTCGCAATCCGCTGATCTCGCCGCCGTCGTGGTCGTGATTGTTTCAGTCTCTGCAATGGGGTCAAAGGTGAATGCCTCAGACAATATGAATATAGGCTCCGGATCATCGGAAAACAAAAGAAGGTCGACCAAGCCTGTGGGTTGCATGGGTGAACCGCTATCCAAAATCACATCACATGAGATTCCAGTTGGATCTGGGGTGGATTGACCCGTAACCGGTATGCACCGGACCGGTCCCAAATAAACAATCAATTCTGGGAGGTCAAAACCATTACCGGTCAACTGAATGCGTGCTTGACCGGTCCCAACACTCATCCGGTTGGGAGCGATACTGTCCACATGAAGTTCGGAAGTAATGTGCAACTGGTAGGGCGCATTACCGTAACCTCTGGAATGGACCGAATACACAATCGAATGTTTCCCATTCGGCAAAGGTGCAGATAACCTGCACTTTAGCTGCTTTTTATCACTATCATAGCCTTCTGCTGGGCAACGGACAGGACCAATCCAGATTTCGATTTGTTGCAAATCCTCACCGTTGATCAGTAAGTTCTCACCGCTCAATTGAAGGACCTCTGGACCTGTCACAATCTGCGGCTGAATTGTGTTGATATAGGGTGTGAGTGTTGCCTTCATTTCGTACACGCATTGATGTTTTGTGGATAAACAGGGCAATGATGACCATCTTTTGTTCCATGGATTCCTCATCTCCACTCGATAGATATGTGAAACAGAGAGCAGATAGTTGTTCTGTCGGTTTTCGATCGGTTCTACTCGACATGTCAGTTGGGTCGCATGAACTACTTCAACCCGACACTTATATTGATTGTCCAGGTAAACCCGATGATTTTCCGGTTTAGCCGCATCAAACCCAAAGCCCATGATGTGCAGTAAACCTCCACCATACAAACTGCCTTGTTCTATGTGATTGTCTGTAGCGGGAACAACATGCGGGGTCATCATATGTCCTGTTTCCGGAATCCTAGTCCATCCATGAAACAATGCGTTCCCCATGTCCGAGTGCGCAATACGAGGAATCATGTTAGTGGGATCGACCGCTTGAAGATCATTCAACACAGCCCGTAATATCTGACATGTGAAACTACCCGTCTGGTAAGGTGACTGTTGCACAACGGGACACGGGATCTCATCCAGGAATACTGTTAATTGTTCCGTACAAGAATGCGACTGCTCAGTTGGGAATGTGTATTGAACCGCGTTCAGCTCTAGGGTAACCATGGGTTCCGAAAATTTTGGAGTTAAACATCCACGAAAAACAAATAGGAGAAGACTTTCATCCACCTCCGGAAAGAGCGGTTCACACATAGTGGAATGAGAACATGCTTCGGAGAAAGCAAATGTGTCATCAGCTGTACGTGTTGGTGCGTCACGCGGCGTAAACGTATGAAGGTTCGTTTGAGGTGTCAGCCCCAAGGGTGGGATGGGGAGAAATAGAGACAAAGAGTGGACTGTGAAACATAAATCAAGTATACAAGTGATATGCATTTACCTGATGTGTATTGAGTCATCAAATGTATCCGCTTCAGATGGAATAATCAACAGTAATCACAGGGATGAAGTTCGCTATAACACATACTTTTGGGTCCAAACTAAGCATATTTTTGAGCGAATATATGGGGTTTCATACGGGAAATATTAGAAAATTTCATTTAGGGAATCGGGACCCTAGTTTTGAAATACAAATAGATATCGTGCATATGAAAACATGAAAAACTGCTATTTTCATATATGTAAATCTTAGTAGTCTAATTGATCGACGCAGTCCACCGATGGTCAATCGCCAACGACATCAACTTCGAACAGAAAAGTCAGAAACATGGGTTTGCACAATGTATCCATGGTCATTTCGCTGCATCTGTACACGTGCATATTGCAGTCCAAGTGATTTGTATAGTCAGTGAGATAACAGATTTGAGAGAAAATACACAAGATCGCTAATCACAACGGACAACGCAACGCAAAAACACAAAAAGGGGGGAATGAGATAAGGCAGGGTCAATCACCAAGGCAAAGCTAATGT